CGTGGTTCGACTCCCAATGAGGGTTTTGATAAGTCCGATGCGAGATTTAAACTGCAGTCCACTCCAGCCGGGATGACAACAACTTTTGGGAAAGCAAGGCCATGTGAAATTGAATGGAAACGTCAGCTCAACTCATATGATTGTGGGAAAATTCTTCTTCTACCAGTCCTTCATCCCTCAGATGAAATAGGCTGAATACATCTCATTCTATATCTGTCTAGGCTTTTTAATTTTCTTTTGCTTCATTGAGTATACATTAGAGGTAAGATGGAGCCTGATAGTATTCTTGAATTGCCGTTAATTTGAGGCTCTTGCAAGAATGCATGCCAAGTTGCATGTCGGACAAAAGCTGAACCCGCTTTAACGCAAAACAATGAAAGATGTCTCGTCGATTGCGTCGTAATAGAGCCAAGCGACTTCGGAACAACGGGAATCAGCTGTCGTCAACAGAGGAAGCTTTCGATCAAACATCTTCACACATAAAAATCACAATTACAAATTGAATACAAGAAATTGGATTTCGATTGATTTCTGAAGATAATATTTTTGGAAAACTCTCATTCCGAATGAAAGAACATGACGAAGAGATTCGAAAGTCGATCTCATCAAAGGACGACGGCTGAGTGGCGTTGTATTGCAGCCGTTTAGCCTTCATACGACCTTCAGGTTGACGCCTTTCCCAAGACATCCGCCCTCGTTTCCGGTAAAAACTGGTCCATCTTTCGTCCGTTGATGCATTCGTTTGCCGATTGGATCATGCTTTTAGTGCAATTTCCGTTAAACAAACTGTTATTCAAACTCACTGGGTCTGCACTGCTCTCATTCTCCAATAATAACACTTCATATCAGGCCAAAACAATTCCGGCTTACTTAATCGAAGATATGAAGATCAAGATATGGGGTCTTCGTTATGGTCACGGTCTCCTTTCAATTTGTAGAAGTGGGCTGACTTCGTTTTCGCAACTTGGTCTTGTTGTCAGGGCGACTCAGTTAAACGCATCTTGATCGCCCCTTTAGGGAAAATCATTTCAACATCCAGGAAAGGTAACCGCTCACCTTCATCTACTTCCATCGTGAATTTAATTTTTTCATCAATCTGATTTGTAGACTTCAGAAAATCTTCCAGCTTTTCTATTCCGGTTGACCAAAGTGCGAAGTAATCATCCAGACACTGCATGAGCACTGCCGGTTGTGGCGGTGCCATCTTGAAATTATCTTCTAATTATTTTTTATGTAACCGTTTGACAAAAGAGGTGAGACCGACGACCCCATGGGAAGTGCAAATATTTGTTTATACATCGTACCGTTGACGTGTCGTGTCAACGACTCCCTCTTGATCCGTTGTGATTCCAGGATGCCCTCCTCTCAGTCCAGGATTTCTAGCAAAGCCGTTTGCGCATTTTCTCGGGAGGTATTTGTATACGATGATTCCACATCAAAACTTGCCAATAAGTCTGTTTTTTCCAGTGCCATGTCTTGATTTTTTGATAAAACGCACATGATTGCTTCACCTCGTTTGATAGCCTGTCATTTAATTTCTTGACTTTCAAACACATCGTTTTTGCTCATTTGTGTGTTGCTCCATACTTGTTGACTATCAACCTTAATGGCTCTCCTCTTTTGTGCATCCTTTCTTATGATCGAATTTCTTGTCCATGCGTCAATTTCCCCGTTCCTATGCATATCTTTCAACATGTCACTTAAGATTCCATTGACCTTCGTTGTTGGGTCTTTCTTTAGTTTACAACATGTAGTCCAGTCTCGTAGAGTATATTCAATCTTCTCAGTAAATTGTTTTTTCTCCATTATCACTGTCGCTTCTCCTCTATCCATCTTAAGGACTAATTGAATATATGAAGACCAAGATGTTGTGGCCTCTTTTCTTTTTTGTTTATGTTTTCGTGTGACTTGCAAGCATTGTACACAGCAATCGGTTACTGTGTTATTTTGAAACTGCAAAATGGCTGAACAAATGAAGAGACACGCCTACACTGGAAGCTTTAAGTTAAAAGTTATTAATTGAATATATGAAGACCAAGATGTTGTGGCCTCTGGTGTGGTCGCAGTCTCCTTTCGATTGATAGAAGTGGGTTGACGTCGTGGTCGCAACTTGGTCTTGTTGTCAGGGAGACCATGTAGAACGCACCTAGTCCGAAGTCGTCTGCCATAGTA